ATAGTTAAATTACTTGACTGATGTTTAATAAATATCTTCTTTGGACATAAAATTTGAAATTCATGTGTCCTGTGTTTATATCCTACTGTAACATTTATTGCACAATGAAAATCAGTTTTACTGGAAATTGTGTGTAAAATATGATTTCACATTCTATGTTTCACGGTTTTGATACCCGGATTATTTAGTTTTCTATGTTCCAAATCTATGTGACTGGACTTCTACAACACGGAATATATGGACCAAGTATTCCATAAGGAACCTTAGGTGCGACACTGGAAGCCATCGTTTGCAAGTGAAAACTTTTTACGCCAAAATGCTCGCAACCGAGAGGTTAATCTTTAATAAAGGTTGCATTCAGATGCGATTCTCAAACAGTATGTTTATTCGAGAGTATGTTTACTGGATAAATTTAAGAACGGAGTGAGTACAATAAGAGATTCATACTAATTACTTATACGGGGGCATGCATATGTATGTACCTCACACTGCCGTGATTACGGAAGGGATGAGGTACACGGAATATCCTACAAGACGAGTTATCGACTTGAATACATAGTAAGCCTCAAACGCTTTGCCAGCACGTGGACCCGAAGAAATTACGTCAAAGGAAATCGAGCAAATAGACAAACCAGTTAGAATTCGCGAAAGTGAAAGAACACCTGCTATCTATGAATTAATCTAAAACACTAAACACTATTTCCAAGCATCATACATATTTTCATTTAAATCATTTGCGAAGAAGGTTTCTCAGCAGTACCTTCTGTTGAGTTTTTCCTTGAATGTTTCTTCTACCGGGAATAATAAAAGTTTTCCATGCTTTGTTTTCCTGTTAGCGCTTATGAACACTGTATTAGCTCTTATACACCTCTTGCTTTACAATTGCTAAGATAACATATCCAATCTACTCAAAATGATTTTCAAAATTTAGAAAAAAATAGAATCGAATCATTACTCTCAGAGAGATTGAAGAGGTATGTAAAGAGCATTATAGAAAAGACAAAATTACGAAAATCTAGTCAATTTTTTTTTCAACACTAGAATGTATAACATTAACGTCCTCTGATAATGAAATCGATATATGTAAGTGAAGATGAGAAGTCAATAGCCTAGTCTTTACATATATATTACTTTTTAATTGGTCGAAACACGCGAAACTTATATATAATTCGCCAGACGCACAATTAGAGGGGTCGCCCCGGGAAGTGTTGATGTGGATTTTTTTCCCTAAAAATGGTCAAAAAATGTATCCAAAAACACCAAAATTTTGAAAAATATTCGAAATATATCTGTCCTGAGGTATCCGCAAACAGAAACCCCTTAAGTCCATTCTCCATCCCATATTTAACGTTTTTCATCACGCCCGCCATTACTGCTTTTTCGGAAGACTTTGTAACTTCATTGATAATTTTCTGCCACTGTAACCAAGATTTTCTTGAATTATCGACTGTTTCTCAAAGCTGGGAGTATTACTTCTTACACATAGGCCACATTTTTTTATTGAGTGAAGATGAGGGATGTTTGTGGGGTTTCCATTTTTTGACGCCAAAATGAGTTTTTGCTCGATTTCTTCCTTCATAGTTGTTGGATTGTGGATTTGTCGAAGGTCGGTCCAAAAAATTATATTTTATATTCTTTGATATTCATTGATGAAAGGAATCAAACGGTCTATCACACATTTCCGAAATCAAACCTGTGCTTCCTCACAGCCCATCGGAATCCAGGGGTCCGAAACATGCCCAGATTGACGGAACGCCAGCCAAACCTGAGATTTTTTGAGAAATTTCGAAAAGCATTTTAATTTCTCTCCGGTTTTCATTTGAGTGATACATTTCCCATGAAAAAATTGCCTTCACGGAGTTTCTGTCACGTTTTTGAACACGTAGGACTCGTCGTAAATGACTAACTTTTTTGGTGAACTTTTGTTGTAAAGCTTCGGAGGTTCTGCGATTACCATTTTTTCTTTAGTTCCCGTATGTTTTGCTGGAGATTTCTTTGCATACGTTTTGACCCCCATTTCGTAGGCCTTAGTATGATACGAGTGATTTGTATTAATCTTTGACTTCATGGCTGCATTAGGCACCGACCTGGATGGATAATTTTCAAAAAAGGATTCAACCGTTTTTAACTTTTGAGGGGTCGATATGATTGTTTTTTTCAAATGGTGGTTATTTGAGGTTTACATTTTCGGATTCTCCATACTTTTTTATGTAAGTTTAAATTTTTTCACGGCCACACCGTCCTCTGTTGAAATGTGGTAAAGACTTCTCCGAGTCTTCGTAACTCGGATTTTGGTACTTACAAAAAATTCATTTTCCGACTTCCTCGCTTTGAAGTTGCGTACGAAATTTGTTTTTCAAGGAAATCTTATGAAATTTTTAGGGTACGGGGTTGAATATATTTGTAACATTATGTGAAAAAATAAGATCCCTGAAACCATTGTTCACCACCCTGCTACTAATTACAATCCCATCAACACTTCCCGGGGCGACCCCTCTAATAAAAATCCCAGGTAATAACTTTGTACTGATTTTAATCCAAAGTATGCACAAAATGAGAATCTTTTCTACATTAGCTGAGAAGTAAAGCTTAAAAAAATGTCGGATTCTGTAATGATTTCTAATCATCACAACCGGTATGTCGAACCTCAAGCTCGAAAAGAGAATTTTCCACTTTGTCAATTGCAAAATAAAACGATCCCGACTAAAAATTTTTGGTTGTAATAATATTATTCTATAATGTTAAACAAACGTTCAGTTTGGCCACTTTTGAGAAGTTGAAATAATATTATATTCCAACAAGAAATTAACATCAAATGAATATTACCCCAATATTATAAGAATATTGAATTAATCATATTTTCGGTGATCTCATCAATATTGCATACATGTTCTTCGAATACTGTTGACTAACGTCTGCGCAATACTTCAATGAATATTCTAAGCAGCCAATTCTCAATACCATTACAATACATATTTTTATTTTCATTTCAATAATTATATACATACTTACATTACATACATACTTATTCTTTACAGACTAATTAATATGTACCATTATGAGGATAGCAAACAAATCCGAACTCTTCTGTCGGTAACAGTATACATTTTCTTGCAATTTTTGATTTACAAATAAATTCGGAGACATTACTAATTCTACGGACAACATAAAGATGTATTTTAGTACTATCGATGGGATACAGAAAATACGGCTCTTTAAACATAAATTTCCTTATTTCTATCATATTATTTACGCTATTTATGTGCACAATTTTTGCAATACTACCATTACTTAGCATGACATGACAATCGCGTGTATTACTTTTAAGCTTAGGAATTTCAGGCACCTTATTGATTTTGGCACTAAATTTCTGTCCCTCTGCAACTCTACCAATTACTTGCTGCAAAGGATTGCTTTTTCCTCTAAGCATTCGTTTTAACTCTTGCATATAATTTTCGAAACAAAAGGCGCTGGTTCGTTCAAGCGATCCGTATTTGTCTGCATCGTCTGGGAGATGAATTAAAGAATGCAAATTATATGTAATAAATTCTTTGGAATATAGCTTTCCAAATTCTCCTACAAACAAGCGCAACATTTGCCTAGCTAAATTATACCAAGAACTATCATTATTTAATAGAATCCTTATCGAAATCGAGAACAACAAGAAATGCTTATACTTATTTTCAGTAAGAATGTCACGTAACACTAAAGGGCCACTGTACAACAAAAAATTTCTAAACTGGGTGCCCTTCCAATACGATAATTCAGCTAATGATCTTGGTTTGCGAGAAAATTCTGATGGAAAATATGGTCTTAGTTCACAAAGTCTACCAGAAATTATGTCAACTTGCTGGCGGCTTAGTTTGTGCGGAATGGGGCCCTTCGTCCATATTACTAACATTTTTTTGCAAACTCCTAAGCACACTAAATGTAAATAGTCCAGTGGAAATTGCGACACCATCCCAAAGTTAAGTCTCAAAAATTCTGAATTCCCAGTGTGGTAAGAAATTTGTTTTTTGCAGCGAAATGAATCGTCAGAACGTAAAGGCGAATTAATATCCGGATAAACTACTTTGCCAACGTGAATTCCTTTTACCTCGCATCTCTCACAAGCATAATATCCCCCATGGCCTATAATTTGTTTCAGCATTGACCTTGCTGGGGCGTCAGCGATCACACATGAAAGTTTGAATTTGAAATGTTTTTCGGCAACAAAAATACCTGTCTGAAGTAATTCCTCTAATTCTAAAATAGTTGGATTTAAATATTTTTCAAGATCTAATGGCTTAGTGTCCCCTAGATACAATGCAATTAAAAAGGGTGTACAATTTATGAGCTTATCTAATTTACCTAAAATAGGCCAAAATTGTTTTTTTGAACTTTTATATACTGGGACTCCATCTATACCTAACATTAAAACAATTTCGTCAGATTGAATATTATTATATTTTTGTGTGACAAGGTATTTTTTTAACCCAAAATGATAGTAAATTCCTCCTGGAATAGAAATTATATTAAAATCTGAATTACGAGGAGTTTGAAGCAAAGATATGTGAGTTTTAGGGAGGCACAAATTTTGAAAATTTAAAGAGAGAATGGATAATAAATCATCCACCGCTACGCGTGTAATATTATGTTTGACAGCCCAGACTGCTAATTTATCCTTAAAATTTACTGGCACGCTACTTGTTTCTGACTCTGATTCCGAGCTAATTTCTGATTCAGTAACATTATTTACATAATCTATTAAATTAAATTCTCCTGTCGGATTGTCAAATACAACTGTTTCATTAAAATAATCTTCTACAATATCATTACTATTACTCGGTGTTTGACCAACACCACTACAGATCTCGTCTACACAATTATTCTCTATTTCTCCTAAATCATTACTAATTTCATTGCAAATTACGTCTACAAAACTAGTAGGCTCAAAATCTACAAATTCACTGTTAATTTCATTAAAAATTTGTTGAACTGAATGTTGGAATTTACGTCGCTTCGTCCGATGGGAAGACATCGTGATTACTTTTTGGCTTTAGTTGTGAATGGAGCAAACCGGAACCACTTAGCTATGTACGTGTTAATGTCGTGCTCGGTGGTTCTATCGTAACCCTTAGTTGCTCGCACCCCCCCTGAAATTATTGTATTTTATTTTTAGGTTTAAATTAGACAGGGTTTTTCGTTTGTCACCTTACCAATAATAACTAAATTGATTTTGGAGTAAACATTAAATTCTTGCTTGTTTTTCCCATGGCCAGTTCTGCTGAATTTTGCACCCAGGTCAATGGTCATTAACTTTTCAAGAATCGTCCTCGTAATATCTTCAGCGTCCTTCCCGTCAAGTAGAGATAGGTAGGAAATCTACATTTTTTTAAATAATGGCATTAGAAAAACATTGATCTTTCTGCAAATTATAAATTAAATTAAATTATTTTAACCAACCATTAACCTTCGATTTTCCTTATTTTCTTCTAAATACGTTTCAACCCCTTTGAGGCCATCCACAGTGTCAACTGGAATCGGTGGCAGAGTGGAGAAATCTTCCGGTTCCGGATTCTTGTTAGACGCTGTTTTTAGCAGTAGGAAATGTTTGCAAATTTCGTTTTGGGTCTGCTGGATTTGTACCAAATGTCGAACCATCACCTTTTGGAACTCTACAAGTAATGCAAACTATAAATTTAACTATTTATGACCAAATGTGTTTCAAGCCTTACTCATCAAATCATCCTTAGTAGCATATTCCACCTCAAAATTGGTTACAATGGGTGCGAAAGGTACTTGTGAAGACTGCTCCAGTCCAATTGAAAGATTTGAATTTGAATACGATGCGATATGGTCGGGATTTGGAATGAAATTTATTCCCTCTTCAGACACCGTGTTTTTTCCTGGAATCTGTGGAATGTCTAAAATTGAAAAAAAGAGAGTATTGAATTACTGTTAAAATTGTACATACTGAATTTTAGTTGAGCGCAGTTAGGTTATAAATCAAATAAATGAGAATTGTATATTTAATGCTTACTTATCTGTAGAGAAGTTAGTGGGGACGCAAATTGATGGTCGGCAGACTTCCCTTGTAATATTTGTGACGATGAGTGATCACTATCCGAATCAGTTTCTGGCAGCACTGTTTTTGATTTACTGGTAGGCTTTTTTTTGACCCGTCGATCGTTATTGGAGTCAGACTCTAGGCCCGACGTGTCTTGCGCCAAATTAGCAGCTTCTCTTGCGGATAAGTAATTATCTGTAAAATTGGAAAAATTTTAATAAGAACTAACGAACATATTTAATTACAATAAATAAGCAGATAAATAAATAAATGATCAGATATTACCATAAGTTTTGAGGATCCGACATCGGAATGTGGGCCAATTGTTCTGAAAAAGTGATCCACTTTTTACTAATTTTGTTACACCTCCAATGCCCGTCTTATCCGGATAACGACACAGACTCCCTTCTGGATTAATCCAGTTTGAAAGTACTACTTCAACAGCTTCCTCGTCAGGGAACTCGACGACTGAGTACATTTTAGTTTTTAATTTTAACTGAATTTGTAGATAGTAAAAAGGTGCACAACGAGAATGCGGGATAGGAATGATGGCGAGCAGTGTGGATAAAAATGTTCAACCGCCACTTTCCTAAAAGACGCTACAATATGCTTGTAATATTGGGGAAATGTGTACTCAACATTATTTCCCTCTCGTTATACAATATGACTTAAATGTTAGTAATACATTACGAATTTAACCACATTATTTGTCGTTGTTGTTCCAATATTTACACAATGTCAAGAATTTTTAAAATGTTCTAATATTATTTTAACCAAAATAAAACATGATTTCGCAACAGAAATCCAACAATAACATAAAACTAACAATCGTAATGTAAAAGTAATGTTATCGCAATGTTCTGTTTTAGTCGGGATGTACAATAAAACACGATATTTTCACGAAAACTGCCATACTGCCAGCTCAATGTAAAGTATATACTAATACGTATACATAAATTAAATTAATAATTTTAAAACGTCGAAAAGCCAATGCTTAGGGCTTTAGATCTCAAAGGCGAACCACCCTTTAACTTTGATAAAACAGCATGACGCAATGCACACAAACTTAAATATAGAAGCATTTAACAGGTTGTTCCTTGCAACCTGAAGAATATCTCCAAAAGAGAATGTCAAGGAGTTGAATATACAATTTTCTCGACGCGCAGTTAATTAAAATAGCGGACCACAAACTACAGCAGCGTTTTACGAAAATAATTATTAAGCACACGCATCAAAATGGTGAGAGCCAAAATTTTGTAACAATCGATAAGAATTATACATATTTTAGCTAATGTCCTCCCCTGTGTTTAACGTTTGCCCCTAACGTAGCTACAATTAACGTTAGTGTTATTATGCAATCATTACCACCAACAAATTATGAATGGAAATCTGTATAGATACAGTTGTGCATTGGTCCGAGTACGGTACTTTGTGATACGTTTTCCTTCCGTAGCACCTGGCAATGCTAGGACCAATATATAAATAATTTACCCAAAAGAATGTTAGCTCGTGCGAATTTTGTTGGGACGAAAAATTTGCGGAGGGTCATGTGCTGATATTAAGCACGTGCGTCCCCGTGTGATTATTCATGATTTGTTTCCTCCGATTCCCACCCAGATGCAGCTCCACGACGTCCCCGACGGTAAATTCACCCTCCGTCACGGTGCAATAGTAACAAACGTATCCTCCTCGAGATTTAGTGTTGGTCACGATAATATGGAAGTGTTGTCCATCTCGTGAATAGTATGTGGTTGCGAATCTGTTGAGGATACATATTGGCCGTGACTCAAATCCTGCTTTGATGGCGTTAAGGTTTTAAGAGCTGTAATTAAGAAAATAATGCTGTAAAATAAAACAGATCTCCCGAGTAGAAAAATTAAATGGTCAAAGATTATACTAAATCAATTTCTGTGACAAAGTTGTTTTAACTTAATGATCCACATACCTTTATGAACTTAAATCGTTAACATTTTGCAGTTGGTGGAGTTTTGTGAGGAGATTTAAGGAAATAAATATGCAAATATTTTCCTCTGATTGGATCACCGTACGCAATTTATAATTTGTGATAGGTGCCACTGTGAATTTCAAAAAATATATTTCTAAATTTAGTATTTATTCACTTTAGCAGAGCTGGGAATCAATCCGGATTACCCAATGTTAAAGAATAAAGGAATTGGGGATTGGGATTGGCCATTTAAACACATTGACTAATCCGGATTGATTCCCAGCTCTGCACTTTAGTATGTGTTAGCGTGTCGACGGTAGATATATTTATATGAAGAAAAAATCACCAAAGTATCCAATTGACGGACAAAACGTTAAGACATTTACGGAATGTGTAACAAATAAATACCTAAACCATGAAAATAAAAACTACATTAAAGTAAAACATTCATTTGCTAGTACGAATTTTTCACATAATAGCGGAAATATTTTAATCTGAAAACCTCGAAATATACATACATACATGCAACAAGTAATACCAATATATATATACACCAATATATATATTGGTATTGGTATATTGGTATATTGGTATATATATATACCAATAAAATATGCAATAAATGTGACCATTTTATGCACACATTTCATGTGTCCAACATGAATCGAACCGTGGCGTGAGATGGATAAAATGACCAACAAATTATGTGACACTTAGGTACCTCTTAGGTTTTCAAACACGATTTATAAAAATATTTCGAAATTTATGCAATTAGTTAGAACTAGTTACCTAGGGAGTACATTCATAAAATGAAAAAGTTGAAAATAAATAAATATCTGCCCTCTCATTATGCTAAATATGTCAACAAAGGCAGCAAATTCGAAATTATTTATGTAAATCGGAAAATCATGCAAAAAAAAATTTACTGACTTCTGCACCAGAATTTTGAATACATATGTATGTACATATGCACTTACGTGTTCTAGGCGAAAATTTGTTGCGAGTTGCTGCATGCTGATTTGAACAACACTTATTTTGAGAAGAAGTCGTTCACTTACTCCGAATTTTTAATTTAGACACTTGAAATTTTTATATTTTCTTGAAAACCAATCATACTTATGTTTAATATCCGGAATAGACTTTAAAATAAATCGATATATTTACTTATTTGACCCTCTCCCTACCCAGGGAGAAGATGAAGCTGTAATGCGGAATAAAACTGACAAACAAAAAGTGGATCTCGAGGGGTCTATGACGCCGATAAAAAAAATTCGTTGCCATGGAGACGAACATGAACAGCAGATGCTTTCCACCTTTCGTGTTTTAACCAAGTACCCTTGTAAATATATACATGTAACTGGTACTGCATGCACAATGTCCAGAGGGAAAAAGTAGCCTGTTGTTCACCCTTTGTGAGTTGGTCATAGACATATGTACATAAATTTTACCAGTCACCTCAAACTCAAGACATGCCCTACCACCAGTACAGCAACAGCAAATCTTTAGATGGGAAGGAACTGGCAATGGAGGAAGAGAAGCATTAAGCCAGTACTCGTTCGAAAAAGATGGCTCCCCGACAGCAATGCTCCAGACAGATATGCTTCCGGCAAGTATGCACGGACAAGAATGCTCCCGGACAGAAATGCTTCCGGCACAAATGCTTCTGTCAAATATGCTTCTTGACACAAATGCTTCCGTCAAATATGCTTCTTGACACAAATGCGCCGACGTAAGTACTGCACAGTATCTCCTACCAGCAATTATCTCCTAACCGTGATATTTTTTACCAACAAAATAAACGCCTTATATAATTGTGAATGATGCTCTGCATTTTCTTTATAATATTCTTCTTGGTAAATATTTAAAAAATCAAAGATTTAGATAAAATTAAAAATATCATCAATCAATAAAATTAAAAGTACAATCAGTCAATAAAATTAAAAATATAATCAATCAATAAAATTAAAAAAAATCCTCAATCAATAAAATCAAAATATCATCAATCAATACATTTAAAAATATAATCAACCCATAAAATTTAAAAAATCATCAATCAATAAAATTAAACATATGTCAATAAAAGTAATCTCATTTAAAGGCAATGCATTGAGCCACTCCACGATTTTTTCGAATTTTATTGATTGATGATTTTTTTAATCTTATTGATTAAGGATATTTTTAATTTATTGATTGAGGATTTTTTAAAATTTTATTGATTGATTATATTTTTAATTTTATTGACTGAATGTACTTTTAATTTTATTAATTGAGGATATTTTTAATTTATTGATTGATGATATTTTTAATTTTATTTAAAGCTTTGATTTTTTAAATATGTACCAAGAAGAATATTATAAACAAAATGCAGAGCATCATTCACAATTATATAAGGTGTTTATTTTTTTGGCTAAAAAATATCACGGGTAGGAGATAATTGCTGGTAGGAGATACTGTGCAGTACTTACGTCGGCGCATTTGTGTCAAGAAGCATATTTGACGGAAGCATTTGTGTCAAGAAGCATATTTGACAGAAGCATTTGTGCCGGAAGCATTTCTGTCCGGGAGCATTCTTGTCCGTGCATACTTGCCGGAAGCATATCTGTCTGGAGCATTTCTGTCACTAACTCGAAAAAGATGAGGTATAGTATGCAATTCAATGCATTGAAAATTTTATTAGCATTGACTCTAAATTTCATTTCATCCTCATCAGTCTGCGTTGCCCAACTACCACACCGCTGGATATCGCTCTCCTCAGCCCCCGACGAATGGTTTTGCCTACGATGATGACGATGCTGCCTCCATGCTCAGCCGGGACTCTCAAGATTCACAAGATTCCCAGGAAGATCTCGACGCCCAGAAGGGGAAGGGTGGCCTGTTGTCCACCCTTTGTGAGTTGGTCATAGACATACAAACATAAATTTTACCAGTTTTTTTAAATTATTACCTCACACGCTCCACATAAAAATTTAATTCCTTTATTTATGTATTACCGACGGATTTGTTTTGCCAACTTTTCACCCTCTGCAGACCGTCCTTATGTAAGTACGTACACAATTTTGCAATCCTTTAGAAAATATAGTAAATTTATTTAACATACGCGTACATTCCTTTTGGGTGTAAATTTTGACTGGAATAACATCATGGTATAGTGATTATTGCTTTTTCGGTAAACTAGATTAATGTAAAAAAAAGAGTAGTATTAGTCATGGTCATGAGATTTTTATTGCTTGATTAAGTAAAAAATAAAAACATTGATTGCTGAGTATACATATTTTGTTATTCATATAAATATATATGCACGATGTACATACATACATACTATTTGATCTAAATTGTAGTTGGATTAATACAAATACTATTGTGAATAGTCTTTTTGGTAAATGAGTTTAATGCAAAAAAAAATTATATAATTGTGTAGTTCATCAAATTTTTATTTATTGATTAATTAAATATTTTATTTGAATTTTTTGCACGGTATTCATACATACATACATTTTTATTCAAATAGATAAATAAACATGTATGACACACATATGTACATACTCTCCATTCGCACACAGTTGAACTTTTACAAAAATTGAGAAATCTGAGAAACTACGGCACTGTCAGTCTCATATTCCCTAAAATAGTGATGATAGGGTAATTTGCGACTGGCAGTGGCATAGTTTCTCAGATTTCTCAATTTCTGCAAAAGTTCAACTGTGTGCGAATGGAGAGTACATAAGTATCTATGATAACTACAATAAATTATTAATTACCAGGACTAATTATAATAGAAAAGTAGTCAGTTTAGTGTTACCTAATCTAAATCATTATAATGTTGCCATATTACCATCATTGTTATCATTTTGTTAATTACATTCGTATTTATTAACTTAAGTTTTATCTGAGAATAAAATTGGAATTATCAAGTGCCAAAGACAGATATTTATTTTTTGGATAGAAAGGTAAAATACGTTTTGAAAGATAAACGAGGAATAATATGCAAGATAAGATTACCTTTATGCCTCACATATTTATAATTCTCCGCAGCAAGACGGATATTACAATATATCTGGATAAAATTAGGACGCGTATTGCAAAGACAAATTTCAAATAGGTATGCAAAGTAAATAAGTTAGATGATGAATACATACATACATAGAAAATTAGACGTAGCGACGGCGTATGATGAGAATTGTCCACCACTAATCGAAGATGGTACAACAGTAGAAAGAAAAAGCTTCAAAAACTCTTTGATTCTTGGGTTTTTCATGAGGGTAGCCGGCCTATCCACAAATACCACTGCCAGGTAGAAGAGATGTTGCCGAAAATGCCCCCATATGAGACACTATGAGATATGTTTGTAGATTCTGCGACAAAATTGTCCAAAACTTTATGCACTTGTACCTGCATATCACCAAGTCTAATTTCTTTGAGACTTACATATTTCATCAACCGTCTAACCCTTAACCCAGTAGACAAAAGGTAATTTCGCATTACTTCGACAAAATTGTGCAATCTTGAAATTAAAAGTTATGTATTGGGGATTGAAGAAGGGAACCGGCCCATCAACAAGTATTACAGACAAGTTGGTATCTACCTAGCAGGTATCATGTTGGATTGTGCTTAGGAACACCACGATATGTATGCCCATTTTGCGACAAAACCATGGACAACTTCAAGCATATTCATAGGAATCCTAACATTATGATGGCTAATATGTATAGATATATCTGAACAATATATTTATGAGTGTATATTAATATACCAAAATACCCTGACACACTATTAAATGCTAAATTTACCTAGTGATTCAATATCACATCGGAGGATAAATACGTATGATAATTCTGTAGTATAATGTTCCATTGTAATTGCATAACGTAATTACAATTAACGTTAGCTATTTTTTGTAGTTCCAACATCTAAGACATATTGAGGGTATTCATTTCGAGTTAGCAATTTTTGCAAAAAGATAAAGCTCACAAAGAAATTTTGGCGTACCTAATTGCGAACTTGTGACTTGCCCATCTTCACGGGTAGTAGTTCTAGTTCGCGAAATATTCTTCACAAATATGGAAAATTTTGCAATGGGAAGAATCCATAAAACTCGGTCAGTCTCTCCTTTTCAATTTTTAAAAAA